ATATGTATATATATATATGTGTATATATATATATAGTGTTTCATTTACCAGGGGTGAAAAAAGTGACTTACAAAACTTTAATACTAAGGAATTCATCTATGTGGTCTTTAGGATTCTGTATCATGGAACCTGAATTCAGGATATAATTCATAAGCATTATTATTATCATTCATTCTTTCATTCAGTCATTCTATCAAGACATGTTCGTTGAGCTCTGGTGTGTTATCTAGGAATGGCGACGGTCTCTAACCTCAAGGTATTTAAGTCTAATGGCGAAGAAAGGTAACCTAGTACTGCCTGGTTGGTACTCTGACAGAAGAATATCAAACTTATTCCCAAACATTTTTAAAACACTCATTTATTCATGTTATAGAACAAGGATGTCATGGTACAAAGATAATACAAGTCACTTCAGACTTTGTGGTTTATCCTTTATTTTAGTTCAACTTCTTGGAATATTGTAGAAGGCTCCTTGAATCATTGGACAGCCCATTTTTGTATTATTATTCCATTACTGTGGGACCATCTTCTGGTTTGGGGGTAGGACTTTTTTATTTATGATCATTTAAGTCTTAGATGCTGGAATTGTAAAATCTCTAAATAACTGACTCTATTGTCCAGCATGAAAAGAGAGAAAGTTTTAAAATGTAAAATAGATAATGTATTGCCTTTATTTTTCTAGAGTCTCCTACAGCATCGTGCCTCTGATGGCAATGCACTTAGAGTTTCCTCTCACAGCGTCCTTCTTATGGGTGTGTGGTCTTTTCCGGCTACCACTCTTGTAGGGTGCAACTTGGCTTAAGCCATTCCTGGAAACTGGATTCCTCGATGCAGGACCAACCTGGGGAGCCACGGGCCTGAGAAAAATCACACTGTGGCTTCTTCCATCTTGAGGGAAGTTGAACTGGGTTAAAATAAGCGTTAAGAGAAGGTGTAAATGAATGTCAGAAGTATCTGGCTGGGCCATTCTTGCCTCTCTTTTGCATTTGAAACTCTCCGCACCTAAAATGTCTTCCATTCTGTTATCCAACTGTGTAAATCCTAGTTCTTCTCCAACAACCTGTTCAACTTCTAATTTTCATATAAAAGCTTCTGAGAGCAACATTTAATCTGTTCATTCATTCACTTATACACCTACATATTCTTTCAGCAAATAGATCAGCTATTGTGGAAAAGGTACCTTGCTAAGCACTTTGGAGAGATATAAAGATGTCTATCATTGTATCTGAGTTTAAGGAGTTTAGAGATTAGTAGGGGAGATGAACTATTCACACACACACACAAACATAAGGATCATTACTGCTAGACAGATACAGATAAAATGTTACGATAATTCAGAGGAGGATATATTATTTCCACGGAAGGAGGCCAGG